GTAAACTTCTTCCACATCGCATCCGCAGAGGCGATGCCCTGTCGAATGAATCGTCCAAATAGGGGCGGCATATTCTCATATACATGATCGGTTAATTAGTAAATGTTGACCAAGAGCTCGTCCCGCCAATATGTGACGGTGTTCATCTTTTCATCCACCGCTGATGAAGCAATCCAACGTTGTCATGAAAGTGTCAAAGTTGGTGGTCACCTAGTGCAATGAGCCGAATACAATGTATAGTGATGTATTAAAATTTAAGGTGTTACTTTTGAGATGGAGCTTCGCAACACTAAAGCTTCATGGCATGTTCGGATTCGGGGCTCCCTTGCTCAATTTGAAATGGCCGGGATGCAAGTTCTGGAATACCTGAGCGGGATCGTATTTTTTGCTCACACCGACCAGTCTCTCAACATTCGCCGCTCCGTAACTAGCGATCGGATCCATGAACTGGGACGCGTAGTTCATGTAGATGTAGTCATTGTCCACGCCTTTGGCTTTTGCCTCTGCCTTGACCTTCTTAATGATCGTAGATAGGAACTTCAAGATAGTTGCTTCATCAGCTGCGTTGGCGAATGATGCACTCATGTTCATGATGAAGATAGGGCCTTTAGCGGGCGTAAGACCAAGGGCGTTGCCACCGTTCTTCTGCATACCCTTCAATTGGCCTTCAGTGATAGCCTGGATTGAGATTGTTGGGAATGCGCCTTGAAGATCTTGTACGTCTGGGATGAGGCTGTAGAAGGTGTTGACAAGGAAGCTGAATAGCTCGCGATCGACCTTGAATGTGGCATCCCATTGGGTTTGGAGGGAGCCGAGCGTGTCGTTCGGTGATCCACCATTCATCTTTATAGTAAGGTCGCTGAGGTAGCCAATTCCCGTGTCGTCCATGACAGGCGTAAGAGCGTTGATATCATCAAAGACGGAGGCATTGGCAATGGGCTGGGCGTAATGAGTCTGAACGATCGCGATCTTGCCCATCCCTGGGTAGTTGCCAAATGATACGATCTCGGCAGCGTCGGTATCCTTCGAAGAGCCGACAGTAGCGAATTTGTAGATAGCATCGAGGACAGCTGGGAAGTTGTTCTCTGTGAAAATGCGCTGGCCACCCCACATCTTGCCAAGGGGAAAGGCGTTGAGCTTGAAGTTAGTAACTATACCAAAGTTGTTACCGCCACCGCGAAGAGCCCAGTACAGATCAGCGAACTGAGTTGGGCTTGCGGTGACACCGAGACCAGATGCAGTCACAACCTCATAGCTAGCAACGTTGTCGCATGCCCATCCCAGCTTGTTTGAGAAGAACGAGATCCCGCCACCAAGAATGAGTCCCGGAACACCGACTGGAGCCATCTAAAACCATTTTAGCCTTTGTGTCCCACATGTGAATGTAAATAACCTACTCTGCCTCCAACAACACTGACACCAGATTTCTCGACACCCTTATAGACATCGACCCAGCGAGTTCCGGCTCCCACGTTGGCATACTTCTTGTCATTCGACACTGCGACTTGATTGAAACGCTCCATCGAGACGGTGATGCCGCCATCAATACTCGACGCTCCGGCAAAAGCAGCATGGCCACCACCTTTTACAGCGAAAGGGCACTGCGTTAGGCGAGAGAGAAGAACTAGCGAAGATACTTCGATCGTGTTAGATGGCTTAAAGACACATCTTGGGTTCACAGTTCCCTGTTGAATGCTCCAATAACTGCCAGTAAAGGCGTCATAGGCGGACGTCTCCTCGGACAGGAGCTTGTCGCCACCATATATCAGCTTCAGGGAGGAGCACTGGGAAGCAGTCAGTACTTTAGATTATGAGCGAAGTGTTCGGTTCAAAACATACAGCGATAGAGCAACCGCTTGATGCACTTCGTTCCACCAGACCAGAGAGCTCAGGAATAGCTGAGACATTGACGCCGTTGGATATCAAGGCTTCCGTGATATTAAAGTCTGCGGGTTCAAAGATTCCGTTCTGGGCTGAAACGGCTGCCACGATGGCGCCAAGCGAAAGAAAGGTCTTCATCTTGGACTTTGTTCGTAAAGAATGAACGATGCTGGGCGTGATCGAGATACTCAAAAGTATTGCGGTGTAGTATTAGCCCAATTTATCATTCTGTACCTGGAAGATCTTCCGCGGACCACTATTGGCACATCGTGCCCAGGTGCATGCGCGGTTCATCTCGCTTGGGGTTCCATGACTGCGTTGCTGGCTGTGAATGGCTCAATACTAGGGTTGCCGCATGCGAAACTTAGTATACGTGCGGCGGTGGCAAAGTTCGAGCTCGGGACGCGGCGGAGTTAGCCATCCTACGGGAAGGGAGCCCTTACTGTACCCACGGCTCGCTTGCATAGATTATATTGCGGCGGCAGACCCGACTGCTTCTGTCGTATCTACCTGCTTCATGGCGCTGGCGTACATCCTACTACATACCGTGGCAACAGAGAACGGTGTCCACTAATCCACGAACCAACCTCTTCGGCGAGATCTGGTAGCGATATGGCGGGTGATCTGGGCGGTCTCACGCGGGCAGTCGGTCGGCTGGTGCACGGGTGCCGCATTTGGCGCAGGTAGGTGCACATGTGGGACCCTGAACGCCAAGCGGCGCTTGGCCGACGAGGCGGCAGCCTGCCGTCCGAGGATGGACGACGTTGTTGGGACCACGATTCCATGCCTGTATCGCGTCACTATCTATCTGAGGGCATTGTTAACTATACATCAACTGGTCAGCTGTCGTGATAGCAACTGATGAACGGCACCACTTAGCTGCTTCTCTTTCTTCGCAACGATCCCGAGGCCCTTGAGGTTCCCGCTTCAATGGATTCATGCCCAGGTGGAAGTGGGCCCGCACTCTACATCTGCAGTATGTGATCTTGGACGCCGGGTAGCCAATAAATTTCTCGATAGAGATCCAGCAATCTGGTTAATGAGTACACAGACACGCCATCGCAAGTACCATCCCATCCGTCAGGACATGTTACCTTTCTGGGGAAGTTCTTTTCGCTTCCTTCGTGCGTTGAGCGCAAAGGGCCACCACCGGCCGAAAGCCCTACACAGATACGCGGTACGATCCTCATCATATACGCTCAACACGGTCGCTCCTAGGGCCTACATGAGGACAATGCGACAAGCCGCAGCAATCTCTTCCACCAGCCTAATCGGTTCATTCTCCCGGTGTTAGCCTAAGGAAGCTTTTGTTCATGAGCCTGAGATCCTGTGTTCTAGATCGCATCGCATCTCCGGGTACATACGACGTAGGATGCTTGGGACGGCAAGCCCAAACATGGACAGGGTTTGCCTGTGACACTCAGCCTCCTTGAGGAAGGAGTCCACTTGTCGGTTTTGGTCAACGTACATCATCAGGTACCATTGATTCCTGATACTGGCTGTCCCAGGGACCCGGGAACCACGCCGCAGAGCTCTCCGAGTCTTCCAAGAACCCCCGACATTTGTATTTCGATTGGAACGATGCTCTCCAGGACTTGTAAATCCGTTTGGCTATCGATTTCGCATCAACTCGAATGTCCGCACCCCAAAAGACACCTATCACGAGGGACGAGCTGGTGCGTGCAAACGCCGCCATGCTCGTCCTGACATCAATATTTGTGTTCTCTCGCATCACGATCCAAGTTTTGAAACGTCGATCATTCGAGCTCTCGGACTTCTTCATCTACTTTGCTTTCGCTTTATTCGTCTCAATGTGGACATGCTATCTGATGGCAGTATGGCCTATGTTCCGGGTGTTCGCAGTCCTGGGAGGCCTGGCCAGACCCTACGCGACAATGATAGAAGATACTGCAGCTATGATCAAACTGATCGTAGCAGGCCAGATGTGCTTCTACACGCTTCTTTTTTCGGTCAAGATGTCTTTATTGACACTCTACCGTAAGCTGCTGACCGGTCTTCCTGGCGTGTACAAGAAGATATGGTGGGCTATCGTCTCCTTTTGTATGATCGTAAGTCATTTTTTCTCACATTGGTTTCGTGTCCAGGATGCAATGGCTTACTTCCGAAAGTCATGGATTGGCAGCGTTTTCAGCAGCATTTTTACGTGCGATGATCTGAAGACCAAATATGCGCAAGGCAGATGCGTTGGCACCCCAAACGAGAACGACAGAATCATTTTCAGTCTTTATTTTGCATACTCGGTAGACGTCGCTACCGACTTTGCGAGTATGTTGAATAAGCCTCTAACATTACACTACGCGATGCTGATCAGCGACAGTAATGTTTCTACCAATCCGACTGACTTGGAATCTCCAACTACCACGCAAACAGAAGATTGGTGTCTTCGTGCTGTTCGGCAGCGGCTTCGTATGTATCGCTTTCGCCACGCTTCGTGTTGTACAACTCGGAGTCGACGATCGTGGCAGAGCGACTACACCTGAGCCCAAGTGGTTGTTACTTTGGACTGTTGTAGAGTGTGCTATGGGTATGCTCTGCTTGGAGACCTGACAAGTGTAATCTTCACTAACAATATCCCTAGCTATCATCATCGGATGTTCACCCGCCTTCGCGATACTGGTTCGCAAACGCTCGAACGCTTCGAAACCGTCCTATAACGCGCAAGGCTATGTCAAACAAGCGTCCGACAACATAAGAATGAAGAGTATAGTCAGCTCATCGATACGACCGCAAGGCGAAAATCGAGATCCCTTTTGGGGTGATGCGCATAGCAGCCAGGAGGAACTTGCGAAGAATGCCGGGCGTATCGTGGTTAAGACTACTGTTCATCAAGACGATGAGATATCAAGTCACAATTCCAAACGTAACAGTACCGGTGGATCATGGGCCGTTGAGTCGCACACTGGGAGTAGAAATGTTACTTATAGCACGGCTCGCCATTAAAACGTAATAGAGGCATAACTAGCATGCAATTCAACACCTCCACACCCTATTTTGACCGTGATCTCTGTGACACATTCCCACAATTCCGCAACCCGCTCAAAACGCCGGGAAGCCATGTCTGAACTACGCTAGTAAAACCATAGAAAATACGCAACCAATCACACGGCCATGATCGACTCGCCACCGTCCTGCGTTATTCTTTTCCGGATGTTGATCTTAAGCAGCCGGCCCGTAGCCTTCACCAAGCTTCCATCGTCATTTTGCGCGAGTACAGTATTGGGACAGTACACAAGCGCTTCTCCGGTTGCCAATCCCTCAATCTCCTGCATAAGAGCCTTGTCGTCGTCCAGGCCGCTGATGTGTCTCTTGAGCGCGGCATACCAGGTAGGGCTTGTAAAGCGATGAATGACGCTCATGTTGCAGAGCGCAATAAGGTCCGTGGACACGGTCGGTTCTTGAGTGGAGATGATCACACGGGTACCCAAGTGCCGCTGCACACGGATGGTGTGGTAGAGACTGTCTGCGAGAAACTTGGATCCTGGACTATCGGACATGTACTAGCGTTTTGTTAGTGAGAGCTCATTGGCTAAGAATTCAAAGCATATACCTTATGCGCTTCGTCCAGCACCACCATCTTACTCTTCACGGATGATTGCAGAAAGCGGTCCATGCCCAGCTTGAAGAGAACACAAGCTGTGCTGGATGACATAAAAGCATCAGACAGATCCATGATGACCATCTCACCTGGAAGAAACTCTGGCTCCGCCGCCTTGCCATCCAGATCAAGGAATGACTCAAGCATTGCTAAACGTTGTTTGAGGGCTTGCGTTTGTGCCTCGTTGAGATCTATCCGGTCCACTTCTTTAGCGAACGACTTGTAATCGAGTACTCCATCTTTCCGTGTGCGCGACATCTTCCTGAGAACCATTTCGACCTGGCCCATGTAAAGCGGAGGGCTCTTATCGCCAATACCCATCAATGCGCGCAACCCAGCGATGTCCAAAGCCTTGGCGTTGAGTTTGAACGGGATCACGCGGATGTTTCGAAAAGGATCCTCGTAGTGGCTTCCAATCGCTGCATTGTCGGCGGAAACCAATACAGTGATTCTTCGTACGTTTTGGCCAGGAAAATCGGGCTGCGCACGAGCCAGATGCACAGCTTCGCTGACGCTGAATCCGGCTCCACCAGTGCTCCAACTTCCATAACTGAAGACCAGTGCACAAGCAGGTGCTTCCAAACGGCCGAGGTTCTTGGATGGGATCAAAGCATTTTCGAGCAAGCAAGCTGTGGTATGACTTTTGCCACTTCCTTGAACACCACATATGAATGCGGAAAATGGCACGTTGGTATTGTGAAATAGGCTGACGTCATGCCCGGCTTCATCCAGGTGGTTACCGATGAAGCCAACTTGCGGGACTAAGTCTTTCGCGTGTTGAGTGACCACAGGGGCCGAAAGCAACGGCGCATGCTCGATGTCTCTCCTGACTCCTAAGATAGTTGCATTGGATTTGTCGGGTTTACACTTGTTTGGAACAAGACTATCCATGAGACTGAGGTCCAATTTAAAGTCCAGTCGATCAATTTCCGCGGCTATCGGTAATGAGGGGGGTGCCTCAGCCTTGCGAGCAGCGTGGCTGGATCCAGAGATTGGATGAATATCCTCGCGGCTGTAATCGCCCACACGCAGTTCCTCGAACGAGTATTGCGAATATGAGCGTAGGAATGTGATCGTGTCGGACAGCTCAACAGGGTTCCCATGTTGGTCTTTCTGAATGACGTACGTCGGGGGTTTACCTGCAGTACCATTGTTTGCGGCTGGCGGCGCCGTCTTATGGAGTGCCTGTGACGGAGATGAAGATGGCGGCTCCAATGGTTCCGAGACCATTGCCGAAAGTTGCGATGCTGGCGCTTGGATTACTGGGGACTCTGTTGATGTGCGTGGTATAGGGGTCGATGGGACTGCCGACTGCATCATTGCTTGTGGTGCAGTGTTTTGAGATGCTGTGGTCGTTGCTACTGTTGTTTCGGCCAGTGAAGATGCAGTGTGTTGTAAGCTCGGACCCTGAGCTCCCCTTAATCGTTCACGACGGGCTTTGGACTTGTCTTGTTGGACCACAGTTGTAGAAGGGAGACTTTTCAATACACGGAGTCTGCAACAGATCAGCAAGTCGACCGCCAAAAGGATCAAATGATACTCACCGTGACACCGCTCGGTTAATTCGCGCATGCTTTGCTCCATCTGGCTCATGTGCTAAGAGTTTTCCAAGAAGTTTGGGCCAGCCGATGAAGTTGGATGTATTTTCATCAAATCCTATCTCGATGTACTTATCCTTAATCCACTTATGCAACTCTTCATCTGGATCGGGCGTCACCGGGGGTTGACTGTTGACTTCGGCTGGTCCAGAAGTACTTGTTGACGCAAGACTGCTTGAGCCGTTGCTGCTTGACGTGCAGTCTTCGTCATCTAGTATCCTTTTTCTAGCAATGGTAGCCTGCGCGACGTTTCTATCGGTGGCGCTATCTGTGTCTGACACCAGCGGCTCCTGCACTGGAAGCTGGTCTTGCGCGGCTTTGGACGGTATCGACGGGTTTAAGGCAGCGGATGTGTCTGCAGGTCGAGTTTGTGACGATGCTGCTGGAAGACTGGCAGGCGACGACGGCTTCAGCGCTGCATTTTGCGTTAGAGGTTGGATTACGGAGGCTTCCGGCTTTGGATCCTCTGTCGATGACATTCCGGGTTCCGCTGTAGACGAACCGAAATAAGAGAACTTGAGCGGCTGATTCGCAGCGGCTGATGCCTTGAAATTTTCCCATGCCTGTGAAACATCGGACGTCCCGCCTGAAGGAAGAGTCGACGTGGAAACCTGCGATAAAGGCGCTTTCGATGCCTTTTTTGATGAGAAGATAGTCTGTGGTTCCTCGTCTCGAGATGTTGATATGACACTTGGTGTCGCTGCGCGAACATCGCTCCCCTGGTTGGACTGAGTAGGGAGGCTTTGCGCTACCGTTGCTTCGTCATCCCCTTGAGCAGAGACGAAATCTGACTCGGTATGTTCCGAGGCATTTGACGATGAGCCTGACGAGGCTGCGTTAGAGCTACCATCCGCTGGTGGGGTGACTAAGCCTGAAATTTGCTCATCGTTTTGCGCGACTGTCAGTGGCTGTGTGCACGACTTTGAGCGTCTCCCGATATTTATCTTCTCGATACTACTCATGTGTTAGCCTGATTACCACCTGGACCGATTTTAGGAACATACTTCAACACGGCCAAAATCGTAGACATGGACTCAAAGTCTGGTCTCATTCGCTGCAATTTCTCGATGACAGCGTTACGATCGTGAAAACGGCCTGTAGAATCGAGCGGTGCATCCGAGCAAAGCTCCTGTCACTGTTAACAACCTGCAAAAAGAAAAGCACATTCGGTAGCCTAACGTTGCAGAACTCCTCGCTCAAGCTAGGTTGCTGTCAGTTATGTTGGACTTAAGATGATGATACTGTGCTAGACGCAACTTACTCGATAGGCTCGGCTCCAGTTCCGTAAACGGTCACTGGGTATCCTGCCTCTGTTCTCTTTGTGCGGCCGCCGACATCCGCATTATTGAATAAAGAAGGCGTTGACGAAAACATAACTTTATCGTTGGAAGGGTGCTTTTCGACGTCGCTTTACAGGAGGTATACGACTTTGCTCGAGCATTCAGTGTTGGGTGGGTGGAGAGCGGGAATGAAGCCGTTGTGTCAGTAATGTCCTGTACGAGCGCACGCTGAACCAATTGTGAATGTGGGACCGCCCTCGTGTGAAGCAGGTACCGTAAAGAAATAATGACGCGTTCCCGAGGTGACGGTTATCGATAAACCCCTGGCGCTACCAGAAACCCTGCAATGCACCCATCCATGGATGTATGGAGAAGAATCTTATCAGCACTCCCCATTCCTCCTTACTCTGACAGACAAACCTTTTGCCCAGCTGTCATTTCACATGATCTCTCCAGTTTCTAGCACCGTTGGCGTTTCACCAAGGGATACCTTACGTAGGGATACCGGATGACCGGCGTAGTATCGCTGTCGATGACGTCATACGAACGCGAGCCTGACGCGTCAAAGAATGCACGTGTACAGCTGCCAAACCAACAACCGTAGGAACTTTCTGCGCATTCGCTACTCTGCATCCATTCGGGTTCCCATGGAAGTACCGCCGAGACGTGGAAACTTCTAGTCGACGAACGGCAAATCATGTTCGGTCCTTCTTGCAACACCGTAGGCACAGACCCATTCCCGACTATTCGGCTTCATTACGCATGTCATCAAGCATACCGACTCTGCTACATGAACTATTTCGGCCTTGACAGATGCTCCTATGAAACGTCTGTTGTACTTCAGGTCATCCTCGGTCAAGCCAGGAAGACAAAAACTTCCAAGGTTTGCTTCCGGCGCCGGATCACACACAAAGACCCTACCCTACGGCTTCCCACTGCCGCTCCGAAGACAGAGTGAACTTCATAACATGTCTCTTTCGTACGTGATTTGAAGTTGGCGTTCTTGCTCTAGCCATGACGCCCAATGCTTTACGACGCGCACGTTACTCAGCGCCTTATTCCACCAATCCATCTCATGTTGGTAGTTGCGACCACCTTCCAGATCTTTAATCCGATAGCTGGGCTTAGGGAAAAGTTCCTTACGACAGATGCAGCATAGATGGCTATTTTCCCTTGCAGCATGGATCCATTGCTCCAAGTGAGTGCGACAATAGCTGTGTTGACATGCTGTGACTACGCCTGGCGGTGTAATCGCGTCCTGGCACACGGCGCAGTCGGCATCAGTGAGGCCTTCTATGGGAGCTGATACGTTTTCGACCGGGATCGGTTCCCCGCGCCATTCCATCTGAGCGCCGTCTTCGAAAGCTTCCAAACACTCGTCTTGATTCGTCTCGATGCGTAGTCTTAACTGCTCTAACTCATCGAATATATCGAAATTGGGTGGTACGCCGAGAGCCGAAGTATTGCGTTCCACATCAGCGTCGAACTCAGCCATGAGCTTGCCTTCCAGACGGCAGAGAAAGAAGGTAAGTCGAACTACTAACACATAAGCTCTAGCGTTACGAGTTAGGTGAAGGATTCTGGTCTTCTCGTGCGGCCCATCAGTGCCACTAGCGTTCTGGTACCATAGGCTCTCCAATACTTCTCTGCAACGATCGTTAAGCGCGTATAGTGAGCTGACTGCCTCCTTTACAGTCCATGACCAGTGCTTCTTCGATAAACAAGCCGCAGCATCTACCAATGTGAGAAATCTTATGCCTTGGCGTGTCAGCTCTCTACCAAGTCTGACCTGCTTTGGCCAAGCTTTGTTGGGCAGCACGCGATTTGCATTGAGTAGGAGAGTCTGGAAGCTGACATCCTCTTCTTCGGCAATTGGTTCGAGCAACGCCTCAGGTGCCGCGAAAGTAGATGGGTGGGGTTGTGGCCGATAAGCAAGTCTCCTCAGGTTAGTGCTTCCAAACAGCTCCTTCAACTCGTCACGCACAGTCTCAGGCCGTTGAGGCTCGTTGTCTTCTGCCAAATGCCGATCTGCAGCTGCTAGAGCATTATCCAGGCGTATCGATATGCGGTCATCGATCCAGTTACCGGGCATGTCTGATTGTCGCAGAAGTCTTGGTGTGCTATCGTTGTTCCTTGCGGAGTTGATTTTCGTTTGGATAGACAGGCTGAACAGTCGGGGCTAAGGCGCAACAGGAAGGATACGCAGGCTCTATTTAGCGGTAGGAACCTGTACAGCGTGCACGTGTGCGAAGCGGAAGGTGTGTATCAGATGACCAGGGAGCAGTGAAGACTGGTTGGAAATGAAGAACAATCCAGCGCATATGTATGTGTTCACGTACGCCCAAGGCTATATAGTAATACTGTTCGCTGTTTCAGGAAACAACGAACAAGGCAGTCTGACAGCTAGATTGTTCTACATCGATCTGTCACGAGTTTATACTAGATCATGAAGAGAACGCCAGTGGTCAAGACTAAAGTGTCAAGAGATTCATCGGAACTTCTCGCAACATCAAAGTCACAAACACTACAACAGATCGTCACAAAAACACTCGGAAATATATCGATAAAGTGATGCAGCGTCTTCATTGCCATCCGATGTAGCCTATACCACTATCGGACCTGGATACCACAGCTCCTCCTAACACTACTAAGTCCAATCCAATTCATACTGATCTTTATAATATAAACATATTTACGTTCCCCTCCAAACTCGAAACCAATCGCCAGTCGTTTACGCGCCCTGGATACGGCGGCAGAGAGGGCGACCCCTCTCAAGGGTGTTGGGGTCGCAGTTCAATCGGCTGTCCTCGATGCAGGTCAATTGGGCGCCGCCTATGTGATGTAATTAGCTCCAAACGCTCATTCATGGGTCATGATATATAGGTTACTTACAGTTGTTGACGCTGTCGGGGACACATCGGCCGCTCTGTCCGTTGACAGTGCATACATCCTGCTTCAAGCTGGTGTTTGCGACACAGCAAGCGCCCTCGGGAACGGGACGGTTGTCGTTGGCGCCTTGAGGCCTGGCAGCCGCGAGGGCGGAGAGAGCGAGGACAATGGCAGAGATGGTGAACTTCATTTTTGCGGTTGATTTGGTTGGTTGGTGGTTAGGAAGGTGTCGGTAATAGTGTTTATGGTTAAGGGATTATTGATAATGAAGAACCGACCAGCGGAAGGAATAGAATTGAATGAAGAGCGAAGTAGAGAGTAGTAGAGAAGACTGTTGTTGAAGATGCTGATGAGGCTACTATTCGGCGCGGTACGAGGCCTCTTATAGAGACTGCCTCAGGAAGCTCCGCAGGCGTAGATGTTGGCCTCGGCTCAGCGAAGACTTCACGATGCATTGCTCTCCCTGGCCGCAACATCCGTACTGCATCCTGCGTCTGCCCCAACTCCCTCGTCCTACACAAAAGTTCCACCGGCAGAAAACACACGAGACAAACACAAAACAACACAATCGGTTGCGTCGGCCTGGAAAACACGGCCACACGCCTGCTTCGAGCATGGCGGAAACGGGCGCGTGAAGAGAATGGATACCTTGGCGCTCAGGCGCCCTTGAAGGCATATCACGATACGCAGATCATACAGGAACGGTCGCTTCGACCTTCTAGGCGCTTTGCGAGACGTTGGAATGATGGCGGGAGGGTAAGGAGGGATGAAACTGTTATGCTGTTTGGGTGGCTGGGGTGAAACGTTAGCTTCCATGGAGGGCGGCGAGCCACAAGCGAGTCGTGACCTTCCGAGGTCGACAGAACATTGCGCCTCATGGAATGGACGAACTTCACGTTGGTTTTTTCTGCATTTCTGGTTTCTTGTGTTTGTGCGAGTCGGCTTGAATAGAAGAGATCCGCTCGTAGGTCATGGCTTGCACACGCGTTGTGGCAATTCAGTTGAACTACAAGGAACTTGATGCATACGAAGCGGAAGTTCTGGTTCGATACTAAACCACTCACTGGGTAGTAGTGTTGATTGTGGATGCCTGTGGATTTGCATCGGCACATACCTAGTCTTACAATGGCGCATATGCACTTGCTCTTTCCAATGTCAAATGTGGTTGCAGGTAATCGCAAGAGTGCAGTCGCGAGATCTTAATATGGCTTGAACCTTGCCTTCTCTTTCTTATCCTTGCGTCTCTTCTTCGCTGATGCCGCTCCTTCATCAACATCCATGGTGCTCTCTTCTGAAGGTTTCCAAGCACGAATCTGGCCATCTTCGCCACATGTGTATGTTGTGTTTGTCTGCCATGTATGTCAGCTGTAGAACGTCGTGTCATGTTGTAATGAGGAGATTGTGCCTACATGAGTGTCAGTGAAGAGATCGCGGACAATCTCCTCGCCGTGGGCGCCTGGGAAGGATATGCTCTTGTCGAGATCAAAGCTGTAATCCAGAGGTCCGTTGGTACCTTTGTCGATCGGTATGAGGTTGAGGTGGTTCTCGCTGTGACCACTTAGTACTGGTGATCGCTTTGGTATACACCACAGATGGAAGACATACCTATGCTTTCCTGCAGCAACACAAGCTTGTTGTCCGACCCATGCCAGATCCACGACATACTCACACCCTAATCCTTCCCTAACGTCGCCCCACACCTTCGGAGTTGGTTCTTCCTCTTCCTCTTTCTGACTCTGTAGAGCGAAGAAACTCACTGTCTCGTCCGTGCCGATTGCATAAATGTCTGTGCCAGGATACATGAAGCCTGCATGTGCAATGGCTGACCCATGGTTCACAACTTGGTACAAGGCATCATCTTCATCTGCCTGAGAAGTGTCGAAGATGTTGATTAGGCCGTCCGTGCTAGATGATAAGAGTAGGGTTGGGTGCGATGGGTGCAAAGCAAGGTTCGTCACGGTGTCAGTATGAGACTCTACGTAGGATCGGAGAGGAGCTGCAGGGCTGCGCTGGTCCCTAAGGATGGTTAGTGATACTGATACTACCAATAGACGAAGTCTGTGGCGATATACCATATGTAGACCGGCGAGCAGGTCGGTCCGTCTTCTGGGTTTTCGATACCAGCAGCAACGAAGTTCTTTTCAGCGTCGCACACCAGTGCTGAGACAAGCTTGTGTGCTGTGCTCATCGTTAGCCTCGCATCCCTCGCACCCAACTAGGCAAGGATCTAGTCACTCACGACTTTGTATCTCTAAAACCTTCTGCTTGCTCCTCTTGTCCCGAAACCTGATTAATCCGTCTCTTCCTGCTGTTGCGACAACATTGCTGGGTGCATCGTTCGCTCTTTCCAGACAGGTTATGTTTTCATTTGCGTTTGCGATCACACCATCAGGTTGTAAGTCGGCGCTATAAAAACGCAACGAGTCGTCCGAAGATATGCAGGCCAGTTGATCGGTCAAAGAGTAGGTGAGGGGATCTTGCCGTGACGCTGTGGAGATGATTTTGTAGATATACGAGCCGGCCGGAAGCCCGGTGTTGGCGCTAGAGACCTGGCGGAGAGGCGCCATGGGATTCTTCAATCAATGTGTGTTGATGTTATTGCTGCAGGTGTGACGATGGGCGAAAGAGGTCACGTTATTGCGACGGCAGCGGGACGAAGTTGAAGTAGAAGAAAATTTGCAGTCACCGAGCGTGGTAACGATGCCTCCACCCAAGCGTTATTCAACACCCATATTGCCTTGTTGCCTACATTTTCCGATAATATCGTATGCATAAGACGAGTGTGATGACAGGAACTACCCGTCAGCGCCTTCACGTGCCCGCTTCAAATGACGGGCGATTGGGTCGGCCAGCATGGGAAAGCTCAACGCTACAATGCTGGAATTGCGCATCTCATCGTTCCGCAAGCTTCGCATCGGACGATGTAGCGAGGCCATCGTGTCGAAAGGTTACAAATGTCACGCAAAAACACAATATGTAGCCTTGATATGAAACTCGTGCAGACATAGTCTTAGTCAACACAAGCGATTAATACAGGCAGTCCCTCTCCGATCCCTCCTGAGCCCCATCCACTGACATAACGCCAGCAGAAAAAATAGGCCGTCACTCCCGCAGTTTAGCACGTCAAGCGCTCCTTGCCGGCGATATCGAGGTTCGTGAAGGAAAGGAAGTTGGCAGGGCGCGCGCGAGAAAATATCGGGTATCCGCCAAGTGCGTGACTAAGCCGCGTAATGCTGGGCTTCTGATTGGGCGGTAGGGGGACCTCGGGAGTCGGGAAGATTTGGGCTGGCGGCACTGCGCATCATCGACGGTCGACAACCACCACACGACACCTGACGGCTCTGTCGAGTGGCATCAGAGAAACTGTACAATGGCTTCTCAGCGGGTATTCCAACTTGGCCTGCGACGGGCGGCCGCGCCTAGTCTGAGGGTACAACCGGCGGGACGCATGGTCCAGCGGAGGTATGTCATAGCAGCATCGAGCTTCCTCGCACCACTTGTACCGCCTATACCCATGCGCTCGCGGATGCTAACAATGTACAACGTAGACTCGCAGCGACCGAACACGCCTCGCAGTCCGAAGCAGCCGAGATCCTTGCTAAGCAGCGCATCTACCGCCCCGTCTCCCCCCACCTGGCTATCTACAAGCCGCAAATCACCTGGTACGCCTCGTCGCTCAACCGCATCACTGGAATCACACTCTCCGGCTCCCTCTACCTCTTCGGTATCGCCTACCTGATTGCTCCTTACACTGGATGGCATCTCGAGACACAGTCCATGGTGGCGGCCGTTGCTGCATGGCCCGCGGCTGCGAAGATGGGAGTGAAGGCCTTCTTCGCTTTCCCATTCTTCTTCCACAGCTTCAACGGCCTGAGGCATTTGGCGTGGGATGTTGGTATCGGATTCAAGAACCAACAAGTTATCCGGACCGGATGGACCGCTGTCGGACTGACGGTCGTCATGGGTCTTTACTACACCTTCCTCGGATAAGCGATCGCACTCAGATGGAGTCAGTGGGGCGGTGAAGAGATACACGAAGCGGTCGAGATTGTGGCGATGAAGGAGAATAGCGAGACAGTAGAGGAGGAGACGGACGGACTGCAGGAGGAGAGATGCGCAGGGTTGGAAGTGGAGTATTCTTGGAGGATGACCAAGAGTACGAGCAACATCTACAGAGTCCATGTCAATTGAATGACAATTTCTTTCTTTGCATATACGTGACCAGGCACTGAGCCAGGTGGTAGTGATTCACTGAACGTGTGGAGAACCGGCATTGCTCTTCTCCAGACAAGCGCACGAACAGCAGTCGATCAAACTATATGAGGACATGAGAATAGACTGACCATGTCGAAAGCCAAGGTAGTGTTATCTGGAGAACCGACAGACCTTGACGAATTGAAAGAATGCACGGCACGCAGTGTCAGTAAGCAATGGAAGATGGCGGTCTAATCTAGGCGGGGACCAATGCGCCTGTCAAACCCAAGGCGGCGAAGAGGGAAGCGCAACGCTTGGTCATTGACTGGCACATGTGATCACGCGTTTATTGGCGCGTAGCCGTCTCGGCTGATTTGCAGCAACCACGAAAGAAAGTGAGAATCCGCGCCTTACTGTGAAGTGCGCTCAGAGATGAGCTTTCGCCATGGAAGACTCACAAGCCCCCACGGTGCTTGGGGATCTTTTCTACGATGTGAGTACCCGTCTTCTGCGTCGCGTCTGGATAGCGTGTTGACCCCGGCCGCCGATCGCTCGAGTTGACTGACGCCACACCAGGACCCATCGCAACTCTCCCAGGCTCTCAAGCAGCGGGCCTGCAGCGACAAGCCATTTCGCTTCACCACATCGACTGAGAGCCCGCACTCAGGCAACTACGCTCCTTTAGCCTTGCCCTCGGCCCAGCACACGGGTTGCGTTTCTCTGCACCTGCCCGTCGTGCTTTCCCCGTTCAACCGCGCTCTTTCCCCACGACGCGCCGCGATCACAAAACATGTCAAGCCCGCCGCCTTGCCCACCCATCACAGCGCGCCCACAGCCACTGGCAACATAAAACACGGGGACCGCGTATTCAAGATGTACAACAGCTTCAGCATGATGGACGCGCCGGGCGACACCCAGCCGGACAGTCAGATGCTGAAGACATGGACGAGCGGCATATACACCAGCGAGGGCAAAGAGGTCAATCCTCCCAAATCGCTGTTCGTGGACCATTCCGACGACGACAATGGCGACGACCTGCCTACAGATGAGATGGACATTGTCGCATCGAGCCAAGACCAGCACATGCCAACGCCTACGAGCCCTACCGTAGTCGACGCCGACGAAGATGATTATGCGCCGAACAGCATGGCGCCTACAAGTCCTCTCAAGTTCCAAACACCGGCATTGGCAGACAGGCACAGGGGGAACTCTGGCCAGATGCTGAGCTCGGCCGTGCGGACAAATACCACGCCTGCCACCGCTGATTCACCCTCGCTGTTCTTTCCAGCTTTCGACAACGGAGGCGATGGCGGCATACAGAATATCTCGCTCACACAGGCCTTCAACAACACCCAGGCGCCTACCTCGCCCGCTGTGGGCGGTATTACAGAAGATGTAGTTTTCACGCGCCCTTCGCCCAACTTCAGCCACTTGCGACACTCCAGTCCGATTCCCGCATATTCCAGCCCCATCAAAGCCATGCGCCCCGATACACCCAAAACCGATCCTATCGTACGATCATCCAGCGAACCACGAGCCGAATACGTCACAATGAAGCAATCGCAGGAGAAGCGGAGGCCTTCTATAGGAGATGAGCATAGGTTGCCCATAGAACAGGATAGCTGGCAAAAGCTGTCTCGGAAAGTGAAGGCGCAGAAGGCAAAGGAGCATGCTCATCGTCGGGCTGCCAGCTCTTTGTCACACATCTCGGTGCCAACCCCCTTGGTGTCGCGATCCAGTAGGAAGCGTATACAGGACGTCGGTTTACCGTCGCCCGTCAAGTCGAGAAACTCACGAGGTGGCGAACATGGTGAATACCAGGATGACGATGACGAGACAATGGACGAGCAGTCACAACCCATACTGGGGAACGGGGTGAAAGACTACAATACCGGACAATCGCCCGACGAGTCGTCACAGAATGCGGCCCATACCGCACGGACTAGAGTGAGACGTAATAGCAACGACAATAGCGTACAGGTTCCCAAGACTTCTTCGCACCCTCACCGCACTTCACGAACTTCTACCCAACAAGCAATTCCCTCCTCGCAGCTGCAACACGAGTCGCAACTACAGAACGATAAGACACAGCGATATCTACGAGACACAAACCAGCCACCTAGCAGCAAGGAATCAATCGCTGTTATGGACTCGCAACCGGATGCAACTGCAGACTTCGATAGTGTACCACGACCAAAATCGCTACGATTCCCATCGTCACCATCGATGAATCAATACAGTATCAACCAGACTACCATGGCCACCAAGACCGGGTATACGAGTCAAGTCATCTCTTCATCAATGCCTCCCATGCCACCCAAGTCTAGCCTGGACGACGACGAGACCCCCGACGGGGAAGAGCGCGTACCCAGCAGCCCTCCACTCCTGAGACCTGAAGATGCAGAAGCAGAGGAAGGCGATCTGGAATACGATGAGCACACCTACGACGAGTACGTAGAAGGAGCAGCTGAGCGGGACACTGCGACACCGACCATCGAAGAAGAAGACACCGTAATGGTTGAGGACGAAGATCTACCGCTTGCAAATGAGCTCGAGGGCAATGCTACAATTGAACTCCAAGGTGAAAGGTCCGATGAGGAACTGGATCTCGTCCAACCCGGTAAAGTGGATATGGGAACCGACCAGCAAGTTCCAGAAACCTTTGAACAAGATCAACCTATGGATGACATCCACGATGGTGATCTACCACGGCATAATCCGACTACGGAGCCACCCAAGCCACCGAGCATGCGACGTCAAAACACTGTCCCAGAGACTGACGCGCTCGATGAGACGCAACCCACGTTCTTCACAGATAACACGTCTGCTGAAGCCACAGGGGACGACGTTGCTGTACCCCATGAGACCAACAGTACAGAGGCTTTCCAGACCGCCCAGGAAGAACATAGCCTATCTGGGCCGAATAAGGCAGCACCTGCTAGCTCAAAAGACAACGGAAGCGATGTGATCCGTGGAGACAATCGTATTCATTCTATTGATGACATCTACAATCTACCCGAGACACAGCAGTCAGCACCAGACGAAGAGATTGAAATGCCACGGTTGAGTGGTCTTGAGGATGACGATTGCGATGCCTTCATGGCTTCAACTTCACCAGCACCTCCGTCTACAAAAAGGCGCAAGGTTACATACACTGCGAAGCGTAAAGTTTTTCGCAGTCCACCAAAGCCGACCACAGACAAGGACGCACTCACAGAGCCGCCCAAATCACCCCGTCTCGAGCAGGTTCAGCACGCGCCTGAGGACACTCCGCCGACTGCGTCAGCTCAGGCACGGGAGAGTCAGGGCGCATTGGCCGCCACGCGTGAAAGACAAGCGGTACAGGCCCCATACAAACGAACAACATCTTTGAAGTCAAAGATCTTGCCAAAAGCCAGTAGAGCCCAGAAAGACAAACAGGGCGCGCTAAAACCAGTATCCAGAGAACTCTTGCAGAGCGTGTCTTCACCGGCGCATTCACCAGCAAAACCAAAGCCTTCGTTGGACGTGCGTAAAAGTACTCCACTCACTCCTACGAAGCCTCGGGAGGTAGTTGTCGATAGACCAGCTGATGTCGAGATGCTCGACGCTGCCGTTGAGCCGGATGAGCCCATCAGCTCCGCACCCCATTCGAGCAATGCCGAGATACCTCTAGAAACTCCATCGCAACGTGTCACAACCCCACCAGGGGAAATCATTGTGCCAAACAGGGTCTTCGCGTCCTGGCCAGGCAGCCATTACTATCCTGCCACATGCCTCGGCCAAGCCACTGCCCGTCAGTTGCAGATCCGCTTCGACGATGGTAACACTACGTCAATGGATGCAGTGCATGTTCGTGCTTTGAGTCTCCGTAGGGGTGATCAAGTCAAGGTTGATGAAACCGGTATGAAAAAGAACGTCTATGCCGTTGTCGATTTCAAGGACAGGATCGATGACCTCAGTGGTGCGGAGTTTCCCACTACTGACCAACGCGGATATACGACAGTTGTTCTGGAAGAACGCGCCCGGGAGAGCTTGCCGAAAGCTAAAGCAATGCAGCCAGCGGAGCACATATCCGTGCCCGTGAGAAAAATCTACCTAACCGCTTCACTCTGGAAGCGACTTCGCGATCGGTCTTTCAACTTCTCTGCAGCCATCACGCCAGCCAAGTCAGCTTCTCATTTCGGCACTCCTGTTGCTGATCCATTCACAACGCCCTCTTTCAGCCGACGAGGAACAGGGGTACCATCACTGCTGAAAGACGTTACCACACGCGCCGCGTCTGTGGCATCTACCGCCCGATCCGGCAGCGGCGTGTTTGCGAACATGGCTTTCGTTCTGACTTCTACTGCAGCAGACGTGGACAAAGAGGTTGTTGCTAGGCAAATCAAGAGCAACGGCGGACAAGTCCTGGAACAAGGTTTCCACGAGCTTTTTGAAAGCGAGCCTAGTGAGGCACCAACATCATCCCAGAGCCGTCGCAGATCGGCCTCTACTATCGAGGGGTCAGCTGCACTGGTGCTCAAGCAAGCATACAGAGACCTGGGCTTCGTCGCTCTCATCTCTGATTCTCACTCTCGCAGCACCAAGTACATTCAAGCACTCGCCCTTAATGTTCCGTGTCTGCATCTTCGCTGGATTCATGACTCACTGAACGCATCTCGCGCTGTGCCCTTTACGCGATACCTTCTGCCCGCTGGTGTTTCCAAGTTCCTCGATCCGAACGGTGTCGTGCGATCCCGCACAATGGCTCCTTACGACCCCGCTGGCGAGGACGTCTCCTTCGCGCAAATCATACAAGATCGTTATCCTCTCTTCCAAGGCCAGAGTGTCCTTCTTATCACCGGCAAATCGAAGAAGGAAGTTGAAAAGCGACAGCCATTTGTCTTCCTCTCCCACGCTCTAGGGTCTGCTACAGTCGGTCGCTGCGCTGATCTTGCAGGTGCATCCGATATGCTCGCTAGCGGCAAGTGGGACTGGGTGTATGTGGACAACGGCGAAGGCGGTGTCGCAGAGGCTGCCTCAACGTTGCTCGGTACCGAGAAGCCTGTCGCCCATGGCAAAACTAAGAAGCCCAAGAAAAGGAAGAGGGATGAGACTGAAGTGCAAGAAGAGCTTCTCGTCAAAGGTGAAGTGAATGGGCACAAGGTGAAGATCACATGTGCGGAGTTTGTCATTCAGAGCTTGATCTTAGGCGCTCTCATCGAGGAGTAGACGTCTTTGTTGATTCAATTTGTTTTTGTTCAAGGTCTCCTTCTTAGATGATGGTATCAGGCGTTTGACATGGCACGTACATACACGTAGCACGAAGTCATGTGCAGGAGGCGTTTCGGATACATGTACCACCATCAGCTTCACTTTTCGGATGTCACACAGCGCGGCGCAAGGCCCAAATCTTTTCTTTTTTCCTTGTCTATTCTGTCGACGATTGTCCAGCTAGCGTAGCATACACAGCACGAGAGCGCTTCCACTACCTTCCCGGCGTTGAGATATCATGTGAATAATCAAAAGCCTCGTATTGGGCATATTCCATCTTAATACCTATGCATGCCTGGGTACGTGCTTTGAGGAACTTTTGACGTTGTACTTCCGTGCATCCGCAGAGTACCTTTAGACAAGTATATGAGCAAGTGTGGGTATCATCAAAAATCTGTCCAGTTCTGGTATCGTTCTCTGCCAGTACCAGCAGCATGCATCAGTGAGCTGCACAAGCATGCGCCACGCCGTTAGGCGCAGTGAAGGATCTGTTGTGCTGAAGAAGAAACTTTGATGCATGCTATCGAACGGAACGACTGCAGAGCATGCGTAGCAGTTGCTGTCATGATAATCGCCATGCAAATTTGTTTACGGCCCGAAAGCTCTTCTTGCATGCTAGGCAGTGGGCAGCGCAAGCACGGCTGTTTGTACGTAAGATCACTCAACGAGCCCAGGAGCTCGGGAGCTTGTGCACATAACTATACCGTGAAGACACGTTCCTCCTCCCGCTACATCTACAGTTCCAGTGTCACGATCCATGTGACTGCCTTAGTAAGAGCATGTCACACATTAGTCTATTACTGACTTTTCTGTTTGACGGTAGTCAAAAGGGGCCACGGTTGCCATCAAACCCAATACGCAACAGAGCATGTGATGGGCCGTAATGGCAATGAAGGCAGGGAGACAGGCATGGTGAGAAGGAGCAACAAACCTGAATCGGATGCCCCGTTGATGGATGTCACCCGTTCCGTCCGCTAAGGCACTGCAATCACGTCTAACAAAAGTGTAGCTGTCCTGCTAAAGCATGTTGACGCCCCTTGCGAGACACGCGACAGAATTGGCATGTGAAGAGCGAGCAGTGTGCATGTCCATCCTTCGTTTGAGCAAAAGTTCGTCGAAGCAAGCGCTCTATTCCGCAAGCGAAGGATCGCGAAGAGCGCTTAAGGTCCCTGTCTATCCATGTCCCGCTGTTGAGATCATGCGAAAGCTTCTATGCCGGCCCGCCAGATCAGCGCTCATCAGGGCGCACCGCCGTTTAGAATTAGCGTTGAACCGAATGAAAGTGCCTTCGTTGTGGAGCTATCATGACTCCTCTTCAAAGATGCGATTTGTTAAGCGATCGGAAGAACAGAGCCCACGATAGTCCGAGTCATTTCGAATAAGAGGGGGCCTTATCGGTAGGTTAGGCGGTAGGAGTAACTCCCGTCTGGCTGGCAATGACGGTAGTGACAGCCGCAGTGGAAGGGTCTTGCCTTCGGATAGGATGCCGTGGCTAGCTCATTGGCTAGCCAGCAAGGGAGCTAGCGTGACCCTACTCCGAGGAACAGATATTGCAGGATCTATGTCAAGAAAACCCCTCAGACGTAAGCGTTCAAGACATGGACCCCGTGAGCGAATTCTCTGAAAGCCTGGAGTGGATGTCCTGGAATGGTACGTTGTCCTTCTCAACAATTTGAGCAGCTAGCGGCACCCGAAGCCGGCCTATCACACCGATCGACATCTGCGTAGACGTTATGGGCTTACCGAGCCTCAGTGGAGATGTAGCATACTTTGCCCATGTACGACACGATGTCTTGCATAAGACATAATGCGCTGCTGACCTTCAAGTTGGCCGCACAGGAAGGATTTGGAAGCTGCAGGCGTCGAAGGAATCCTACAGCTCCACGAATCTTGTCGACAAACGGCTTGAAGTGTTGGTGTTGATGCAGCCACGCGGCGCAGCAGGGTAATGTGAGCCGAGAGCTAATGTTGCGATACCCACACCTCCGAGAGGTGATACGCGGCTTCCGTTAGTCGAGCATCGGTACATTGGCTGCACCAGACCAGATGCAGGAATTACTATCGATGTAGTGGCGTCCAAATGCCGCCTCTCCCCCTTGCCCAATCCTTAGCGCTGGCATCGCTACGACTTTCACGTCCGCGGGGTAACTTAGTGTGCGGCGTGGGAAGGCTAAAAAGTAAAGTAACTTTTGAGAATGTCCACGAAAGACCAATGGCACCTGTGCCTTAAAGCGGCGTGAAATGGAAAGCAGTGCGGGTGCATTTATGGTGCCGCTCTAGAGATTGCTCGATCGGCTGCTGCCGCGTGCAACATCTCTGCAACGTGCTCGATTGTTGTCATCTTGGTAGAAAATGGGTAATTCGATGTGAACATTCCGGCATCCTATGTGACCACGCAGGAGGGACCATATCAGGAAATGACTGCGAACAGGGCTATCTCTATGAAGATCTATTCTGTTCCTGTTTACTGTATGTGTATCGCACGGCGCCGTATGCCTTGATGGACGTTGCCGATCTAGGATCGCGGCTACGGCGTGCACTAGGGTGACTTCTCGGGTGATGTCTGCTTTCGGCAAGCGATACGCCTGATCATTTTCAACAACTGAAGCGAACGAGCAAGCGTCAAGGAACCGGTGTGGAGTGCGGAGTGTCTCTGAAGTTAAACGCCTATTCATATCAGCTTGGCCTGGGTGGTTCTAATCTTACATGACTAGGTTCGGCTCTGATCCGAACGGACAATGTTCCAGCTTCATCTAGGTAGATATTAAGGTCCGCGCCGATCCCAGTGACAATCTCTCCTTTCACATGTCCAGGCCTTGATCACATCAGCGACCTAACAGTGGTACAATTTCTTCCGCTCTAGATTGGACATTGGGAGATTTCTGATCAGACGTTCGCTATCGGACCGATTCTGTCGGGCGCGATTGGTGGGAATCCGAGTTGAAGCTCTGAAACGGCCTCGGCAAGACGCGTAGTGCAGTCTCCGAGGTACTTGCTTGCCCAAGCCTGTTGGGATCTTGGATTTTCGCGGGAAGACCAGGTTCAGGGTACAATGGACCTTGCGCAATCTATGCTTGGGCAAGGGTTAGCGGAAGGATGAAGGTTTGAGTGGGAACACCTCCAAGCAGTCGAGCCGACCTGCGTTGGGGAGCTGAGTATTAAGTGGCAGGTGTAGGCGAGCCGACACTCTCATGACGTACGCCGCATAGGTAGACGTTTCTTTCTGCAGGCCGCAGACGAATGAGACCATGTAGGGAAGAAGCGAAGCCGGGAACTCCGTTTGCGTGCTAGGTCTGCTTCAGCTCGTCTTGCTTCTCAACAAAGTAGAATAACCAAAGTAGGCTCAAATGAACCCAGTCTACCGCTCCGACACAAGACGGCAACCGGGTAATTCCAATGTGGCGTGGGAGCTTCCCGTCCCCATTGTGACACAGCCACACATCCGAACGCTCAGCCGTGTCAAATGAGTACCGACTCGTGAGTTGGCTGCTGGAACAAAAAAGCCAATGATCTTGAGAGGTAGCATCGTACACCTGAGTGCATGCGATAGCCATTAGCTGTTTTGTTCGTAAACCTGTTCCTACTAGTCGAGGAGATGATATAGTACGTGAAGAAGGTATCGAGAGTAAATCCAGAGAGCACCGTCCTCCCGGTTCTGCTGGTGCTGAGTCTTTGTGTCAGTCTGTCAAAGCCGGTGTGGGAAGGAATCTGTCAAATGCACAAGCGAGCCAGGAGCAACTCGGAATATGTAAGTCGGTAGACACCGACAGTCAAGGACAAGCTAGAGCATATTGCTGCACGTCATAGTTCGTGCATGCGTATTGACCTTCTAGCGCTTCCATAGATTGATTGCTATACCTTCTCATTAACAGTGCAGGATCTGCAGTAAGGGTGCAGTATCAAGTTGAGATGTCGGTGATGAGAGGAAGATAAGGAGGTAAAACCCCTTGTTTGAGTATAGTGCATGGCCAGGCAGCGTGCGCACTTGCATATGTAGAGTGATGAGTGGGCAGGTGCAGCATCGGCCACGAACGGTGGGTTGCAGCCCCGAGAAGTCCTTCAGAAGCTACGGCCGGTTCCGGACTAGCAGCTGGCAGGCTTACTTGCACCCCGCCCCCGCTTTCCTCATTGGGCAGACCTGTCAGAAAATATTTACTCGGAATCACAGAGGTCCCCAAAGCGCAAGCCGACAAGCAGAGATGGCAGGACTAGACGAAGAAGCTATAGACGAGGTCTTGTACCTGGCGCGCGCAAACGAACCTTCCGAACTCGATTCGTACGTCTCCGAACTATCCACACAGACCAAGCGATCGAAAGCGGAACTGTTCGCTGCGGCTATCGACCCATACTCGAAGAATAGCGCACTGCACTATGCTGCTGCCAATGGCCATAACGGTAATATTTCCAGGTGTGCGTGGTCGAAAGCCATTCTGACTCGCCTAGATATTATCAAGTTGCTCTTCTCGACAGGCGCAGAGAAGCCCGAACCGGCATTTCTAAACGCCGTCAACGATGCAGGCAACACTCCCCTTCACTGGGCTGCGTTGAACGGCCACCTCGAAAGCGTGAAACTCCTAGTACAGTCCGGCGCCGACGTCACCATCATCAACCGAGCGGGCCACGATGCAGTCTACGAAGCGGAGATCAACGACAAGAACGAGGTGGTAGACTGGCTGCTCGGAGCCGTGGAAGAGCTGGAGAATGGCATTGGACAGAATGGCCAACCGGAAGCCGGAGACGCAGATGACAACATGGATGATGCAGATGCAGAAGCGGGGCGCGCCCAAGAAAGCAATGCATCGGCGCAAGGGGTCGCAGCTGAACCGACAGTGGAAGGCGTTCGGAAGCAGATGGCGGACATGAATACCCAGGATGTCGTGTCGAAGGGTGGCTGAAGCAGCTGGATCGTTGGCCGCACTATACATATATTACTGACGGCGTGCGACCTGCAAGGAACATGATGGCATCGGGTTCATGGGAAGGCCGAGCTCCACGTGGCGCGGGCCTGTGCAAGACAGCCACGGTTCCGGGGCAAGATATAGAAAGATGGACGCGGCGCACAAGAGAGCGGTATTGGTTGATGAACAAGGCAACAAAAATGCCATTGTATCTATGGGTCATGCACTGAAGTGTATAAGACCTTGCTAGCTTCCAGTTGTGACTACGAGCAATAGAGGCTTACTCCTGCCGGAAATGCCACCTATATCCAGACGCCTAGTCCAAAAAGTAGACTGGCTCTCATCATTGGTCATCCGCTCGAGTACACAATGAGCAATCGTCATGCCCGTGTAAAACATGTGTGGTTGGTACCACGACGCCGAGCGAAGACGCACAGTCCCATCATGCTATATTATCGCATCCAAAGGCACCAGAACAGACGTGAGACCCTACCTTGACAGATAGACATGCAATCATCAATTCAAGGGTGTTGCCCATGCCTAGCTTGCATTAGTACACGTTGGGACCTGCACTGTTTTTCTCTCTCTCTTACCGCCCACACGCTCAGTCGAGAAGCCAGGCCCGGCGCTTCGCGTCCTTCGCGGCTCGGCGCTTTTCGTTGTACTCCTTGAGCTGCTTCTTGCTGAGGTGCTGAGAGCGACGCTCTGCCTTGAGACTACGTCCGTCGTGGCTATTGGCGGCGGCATCAACATCGAAGAAGGCATTCATCTGGCGATGACTCTTGTTTTCATCGTTGTGCATCTCAGGACCTTGACCAGCTTGTTGCTGCTTGCCGTTGAAACGGTTGAACTGGGCAGTTGTGGTGTAGTCATTGCTAGGGAGGAGCGCGTTGCGAGCTGCGGAGACTGCAGCAGCGGAGGCCTGCGCTGCATCCTCTTCCTCCTTCTCTGCCTCCTTGGCGTAGTCGGCGTTGGGATCGTAGCTGCCATGTATCTTTGGGTTGTAGCCGCCCCACTTGCGCTTTGGTGGTGGGCTGGTACCCGGCGCGCCAGAGCTTGATGACAGTGCAGCGGCGCCAGCGTAAGGGTTTCTGTAGAGTGCACCTATTAGGCTGGGAAAGACACGAAAAGAAGATGATAGTTAGCAAACCTGTCGTAGCCGAGGCTGTGGGTTGGAGCAGTCGGAACGCGTGGATTTTCCCACTGCGAAAGACCGGTCTTGCGGTTCAGAAAGTACCAGGCGCCTGCGTTGGGCTCCCACCTGGGCTCCCAGCCATCGTCCTCTTCGTCTGGGACAGGCTCGTCGGGGAGGGGAGGCGCGCCACCATCGTACGGGAGAGGCGCAGAGGCGCTTGACGTGTAGCTAGTTTCCCTATCGGCGGGCTTGACATATGCGACTTCCGGGGTACTTGCGCGGCCGTCACCCGGTTGCGCAGCGGCAGTTGGCGAGGACTTGCGCTCCTGATCTTGGTGGCCCGACTCGAGAGCCATGCTGCAGAAGTTCTGTACACTTGAAGATGTTAGAAAGGATGGGCCTGGATTAGAGGCTGGTTGCATGCACGAGGTCGACAAAGAGGTTGCCGGCACGGTCAGTAGCGTTGGTGTTGTTGTTGCGAGTCGCCCGGTCGCACCTGCACAAAGAACTTCGGAGCTGGCTTGGCACGGCGCTAGCGACGTAAGCAGACGGAGCGTGCATGTGACCTTGGCACTCTCGTTCCCGATACACTGATACCCCATCATTTGCACTGACTCGCAAGCCGCATCGCTTCGGTCCAGCTCAACGGCGATCCGCTTGTGCCTGCGCCTTAGTCCTTGCCAGTTCCCGGCCGCTCGCCTGATCACTCGGTCCTTTGTCTCATAATAAATACGGGCGGTGCGAAGGTTTTGAGGGCGTCATCGCCGAGAACGGGAAACGACAGCCGATCCTGCATCGTCGTTGCAGCAAGCCTCGACGGCACGACAAGCACGACAAGCACGCGCTTCCATTGCTAGGCCGGATGATGTGACAGACCAAATCTCGTCTTCAAGCCACCAGAGCATCCGGAGAAAGCCCTTATTATATGGAGTCTCAAGGCGCCCGAAGATGTGCATTGACTCGGGAGCTTGCAGTCAAGAAACTGACCGCTAAGCTTAGAGCCGTTCGGAGCGGGCCAAGTTGGCTTCATGCAAGCAAGGCCAGAGGCGTTAGGGGATCCGGGACGTAAGAGGATCGAGATGGTCTCAATCGCCCGCTCAACGGCTGCTGTGAGCTCGTTCCGATCGGATTCTGGTGCCGCTTTAGCTGGGATTTGTCGGCGCCTTTTTCGCTGACGACAACGGCATCGCTCGTGTCAGCATTTGGCTTCAGCCAGTCCATTGTCGAGCGGGGACAAAAGGCTGTTTGTGGGCACCGTAGGGCCGGCCGCCGGGACACCTGTCTTTCTGTTCGCATCGTTGACGGCGGCTTATTTGCCCTCTTTTCTCCTGCAGCGAAAGGCGTCGTTTATGGTGGCTGCACGTTTTAGCTGCTTCCAGCCCTTGGCCTCAATCTAACTGAAGCTTATTGGTCGGATCCGCTCCAGAACCTAACGCCAGGTCCCAGAGTTTCGCGGCAAAATAGCAAGGACATGTTCGCTGCATTCCGAGCCCACGCTGCATGATCTGCACAGGTCATTAGCGGATTAGCTGCGGTTGGCCAGCTGCCAGTTGGTACGATCTGGGGCTCACTTGCCCACGCGCCATCCACGACTGCAGTAACGTGCATCAGTCTGCATCTGACGCAGCACGCTATCTAGCCCGCAGAGGGTGGTTGACTCGATATCTGCAGCCAATATTCCGGCTGGCTTGCTCATACCCTGGTAGGTTCCAGCATCTTCGGGTCTCAAACAGCAAAGGCTCCACGACCATGTCCCTGGCGGTCCGTCACTGCACGCCACTGGAATAATAGCTGACCTACTTGGAGGCCGCGGTCGCTCCTCCTTGAAGCCTGTTCTTGCAAGGGCCTCCTGGTAACCTCTTGACTGGCCGAGCACAGGGTCCCGCTGTCGTCCGCCCACCCTCCACTTTTGCTACCCGGCATTATTGTACTTATTACTATTATCCTTTGCCTTGCGTTCAAGCAACCGAAGCCGTGCTCGCTGCGTGCTCAGTGTCAGTTGCGCCCAGAAGGAGCGCCCGCGCCGCACATCTTAATCCCTGCATCTGTAAGTTCTTCCCGCGTCGCCCCTACATACGCTCTTACATGCACTGTTGCTTTGTGCTTCGGTTGCGGTTCATACGGAGCCGGAACAGCGGTGCTCAGTCGTCAGACGTCAGCCCTGCACGGACTGTTGATTCTTTGGTCTATTTTCTAGACTGCAACGGACATCCTAGTCAAGGCCAGACGCTTCTGTTCGTTGGCCACCTTCCTGACTTCTTCACGTACCTTTATGTACCCGTTAGGTTGTCTACTAGCTGATGCCGTGGCTGCATCAGTGTCAAGCCTTGAGCAGTGCCTGGATCCCTTGAGCATCCTAGGCAGTCCATAGCTCCTACTGTTCCATATTCCCTCATGTGGTCGGTCAACGGGGTGTACCGTGGAAATCATCCCACCTCAAGCGCCGAACATCAAAACCCATCTTACCTGCTATGCTTCTCAACATGAGTCGTCCACCCAGCATACCCTCACATTCAGGTCCTCCGCCATCCTACAGCCCTTACCCAGCACATCATGCTTCATCGTCTCGACCAGAAATCATTGCCCCCAGTCAGCACGTTCGCCCCAGAGATTCCAGTGGAAGTCATAACAATGCGCAGCAATTACCAAGTCTTCGCACGCTTCTGGAACCAGAGCTACTGGACAAGAAGTCGTCTGATCCATCGCTGAGAGCGGGCGGCGCTCCGGTACCTTACAGCCATTGTGGTCGTTACGGGTCGTCAAGTCCGACACTGAAGAGACGGCATGAATATGATGGTTACTTCCATGGCTATCCAGAGCATAATGCTATCGCTTCTCAAACACCCTACCACCACCGTCAACCTCTATCGACCACAAACGCCACCACATCCACTACGTCGTCAACACCCGGCTCTGGCTTTGGTGTCGGGCGAGTAGATCTCCAACGGCGCGAGAGTTTTGCACATCCTTCACAGCATGAACTGGCGGGAAATGGACTCCGGCAAGCTTCGCTCATGTCTGATGCGACGGGAACGATGACAACCCACTCCGTTCAGCAAGAACTAGGGTTTGACCCAAGTAGGCCTGTCAGAATGAGACGACTGGAGGGTTCCTCACGGGCTCCGGTACGATCATCGCGGTGTGTGGGCCAGCGCGATATACCTGGCGAAGGCCCATGCTATGTCTACGAGGACGGTACCTACTGTCGGGCTACAATAGACGGCGAGGCCGTGAACCCTTCGTGGGGCATTACGAAGGCGGGAAAGCCTCGAAAGCGACTCGCGCAGGCTTGCCTTACCTGTCGGGAGAAGAAGATCAAGTGCGAGCCCGGGTATCCAAAATGCCAGCAATGCGCCAAGTCGCAAAGAGTATGCAGAGGGTAAGTGGATCTCCCTGTTTGCAGTTCCCTTCTGTTCTCATTCGAGAATGTGGAACGCATTGACTTAATTGACTTGTTATACACTTCGGATCAGACAGGACTATAGCTGTATTATAGAATGACAAATACTAACCAATGGTAGAGGACTCAACCAAAGCAATGCATCCGGCGAGACATCACCGTCAAACTCCGCTCCGCTATTTAAGAACCATTCGTCCGAAGTCTTGAGTCCCGCAGCCAACTCAGATCGAAACAAAGCTCCCGGAGAGCTGCGAGACTCATCAAGAAAGGTCGACACATGGAACTCCGGAACCCCGTTCAGACCTCGAAAGTACCGCCACCATACTAGCACGGATCCGAGAGACATGTCGGTACAGTCGTATGATTCGGATTGGAGTGGTTCGGCAAATGACCAGAGCCTGGACGATCCCGGACGTGGCTCTTACTCTGACCAACTTGCCCTCCAATGGGAGCAAGATCCTTTCGAGACTGACCCTGGTCTGACGATGCACCTACTGGATCTTTACTTCAATCAAGCGGGTCGCGCGACCTACGGCATGTTTCCTCGTAGACCCTTCCTCGCATGGGTAGAGGGTACTCGCGACAAGAACCACGATCACTTGATGCTTCTATATTCAGTCCTGGCTATAGGCTCACTGTTCTCGGTCGATGGGGACAAGAAAGCCCTGGGAAAGAAGTTTGCTTCGGTTGCGTCATATGCAGCAGAAAAGCGGTTCGGGAAATTCAGCTTGCAGTTATGCCAGACTCGGCTGATGCTCGCGCTCTATCACTTTGCTCGGGGCAAGTCCCAAGAAGCGTGGGACTACTGTGGTGCTGGTCTGCGAGCCCTAAGTGCCCTAAAGTTGAACTCCGAAGAAGGCGTTAAAGAGCTGGTTGATAGCAATGCCGATTGGGGTTATGGGCTAGATCGTCAAATGTTTGCGGAGTGCTGTCGTCGCACTTTCTGGTCCGGACTGCTCATGGATGTAAGTCACGACGTCATCAAGGTCCCAGCATCCGTTGACTTGATGCAACAACAGCGATACAATGGCTTCTTTGGAGGGACCCTTTTCGTTCTCAACTTGGAAGATGCCTTCGTCCAGCTCCCATGCCTGGACAGCATGTACGATGCATCGACACCATGTAACGCGCCGATCCTGGACGAAGATCTCCTGAGTGGAAGTGCCGCTCCCAGCCCCGTCCTGGGCCACATGGCGCATCTATGCCTGATATCGACGCTATGGGGCGAAGTCCTTACCTTCACTAGTCGAGCTGCGCGTCGACCCGAAAGCACCTATGAACGACATTACGACTCGTTCTACACGCGTATCAACGACAAGCTGGACGCATGGCATGCGATGTTACCAGAGGAGCTTCATTACAGCCCACGGAATCTCGACAATAGCATGGTTGCAGGATACGCAGGCACTTTCGTGTCTATACACGCTTTGTATTACGCTACAATCATCCGCCTCAATCGCCATATCAGAGTCAACATATTGCCAATGGACAAACAACGTCGAAATCTGGAACGAGCCCTACGCATGGCGTCCAACTTCCTGTCGATGATGCTTTCCCTAGCTCCAGCTAGCCGCCAACGTCTTTCGCCCACCGTTGCCTCGGACCTCTCGTTCTCGACGCCCTTCCCTGGATACGCGCTCATGCTTTCGGTCGATGTTTTAACCTCTGCCGGGCTCTTGTCCTCGTTGCCGACTTTGATCGAGACCCTCGACACTACACTGACCTGTATCGACGAATTAGCAGGCGTTTGGGCTTCTGCAAAAGCGCAGCAGAAGACAGTATCGAACCGGATCAAGCAGCTCAGGGACATTGCCGCACAACAGAGCCAAGGCATAAGCAACGGAAGTTACGGAAATTTTTGGAGGATCGGCAATAGTCTTGAGACGGCTTTCGGAAACGATGATGCGTTGTATAAGACCGAAGACCAGTTGCTTTTCGGCGTTGTGGGTCAGCTTA